GTCCCAAGCCTGCAGGATCAACTACTTGGTCGCTCTGGGTAGCTGGCTGTGACCAAGCAGTGACCACAACCTTGTCCCTTGTCAGCTCTACTATACATCTGGGAATTCTGATCATTCACATAAACTTATAGGACCGTTGTCTGGGGCATAAATTTTAATAATAGTCATATTAACGGGTCTTCCTTGTAGGCGTATGGATATTATCCTATCTCTGACAGCATTGTACTTCAGGACAGATGTTGAAACATCCTTTGTGATGATGAATGCCACACCATTCCTCTTCAAACTGTCATTCCCGTCATAGTAGATCACATGGTTGTGATTCAAAATGGCCCAAACCAGTCCATTTCAGCTCACCAATGCTGAGGTTATCAATCTTTATGCGTTCCATTTCATTTTTGACAACATCCAATTTTCCTAGATTCATACTTCGTACAGTCCATGTTCTAATGATTAATGGATGTCTGCAGCTGTTTCTCCTCAATTTGAGTGGTGCCACATCAGCAAATGGAGGTCTCAAAAGCTTTACCTTATCCATAGGAGTAAGGCTGGGTTTACTCAGGTGATGCAGCTCTTTCCCAGTCCTATTTTGAGAGCCTTCTAACCTAACCGGAGTATTCATAAAGTTGCGCAGTAATGTATCAAACAGTGTTTCTTTGCTATTCATAAGGTTTTCCCTGGCCAGTTATTTGAGAAGTGGATGGCCTCTTCCTTCCTAGTCTGTCTCAATCTGTAAGGTGGGCTGATACCTGTGCACCATGTGCATCCTGCTGGGTTTGAAACACAGTGGCTCAGCCTCAAAACTCACATCAAAACATCACCACGGTAGGACAAAGTGACAGACAAGTTTGTCTCCCTAAGAAAATCTTATGGGGCAGTCTTATTCTGTCACATGGGGTCACTATGAGTTGGAATCAACTCTCTAGAACCTAACAATACAGTAAAGTGCAAAAAAACTAAACCAAATCTTGCTTTGGGCTGATCCTGCAAACTGAGAAAACATAAACTAGTTGCTGAATTATTCTGTATAAGGTCCCTTTGGGGAAGTGGAAGTTACTGAAGTGAGATTGCCAAGAATATGCTGCCTACTCTGACCTCACTGTCAGTCCTCACATGACATGAAATGGGCACCATAAACTGAAGAAGGAAAAAGATGCCTCAATAGAGGCCATGATCCATGCACTTAATGTTTGCGGTCATTTCTCACATATTATTAATTCTATGCTTATAGAATTAATTCTCTATTAGCTTCTATGCTCACTTATTTGATTATTTTTGATGATTTCTGTTTATTTTTAAAGGCAACATTTCCAAAGTAAGTTATCTCTGCTAACTCCAGGAGAGTCAAGGGGGTTTATGTTCAGGAATGGCACCTCCTCCTTCATTCAGGAAGGCTAATCATGCGGGATGAAACTCCACACTTCATTTTCTCTCATATGCCCACCCAATACTCA